ATATTAGAAACCAGTGTTGGTCCACAATACAACTGTTCTCTAAGGTCTGTTCCCATGATGAGATGGCTGCTCTCTGTATCTGGCCATAGTAATGCAAAGACTATTTCACAGGCAATAATACAGCTTTAGTTTAAATAATGAAAGGCAAACATTAAACAAGAAATTTGACATGTATATAATCCAGGAAAAAAACAACTAGTCAATACACACTACCAGAAATCTTCAGTCTTTACAAAGCTGTAACTACAGTTTGGTTTGGGGTTTTTTTTAAATGCTTTTCTCATTTTTCCTTTTATTCTATTATTTTGTGTCTTCATTCTACATTTCTTCCTTTGGCTTTAAGTGCCTCGTAAACAAATTTCAAAAACCAACTCCCAGCTTTATCCTTCTCACCCGAGGACCATTATCTGCAATCCCACCTTGCTTTTGCATCTTCCTCAGGGGCTAAAAGTTGCACTTGAGCCCTTGCAGCTCACAGGGCAGCCACAGAGAGATGAGCTGTACATGACCAGATACCCTTTTTGGGTGGGTACCAGGGCACAACTGGGGCCTGATAGCAGATGTTCAGCAGGTACAGGGAATTTATCTGCTGTAGCCTGAGGCAGGATGAGAACCACACTGTGTTGGCTGCTACACAAACTGCAAGAACTGCTGTCCCTTCTTACAAGTCCCAGGTGGAAAAAAAAACAAAAAACAAAAAAACCCCAAACAAACAAACCAAACAAAACTCCAATTATTTGGGAATGCTTATTTCTAAAAGTTTAGCTGCCAGGACCCAAGGCCACACTGCACAAAGCCACGCCTCTAAAAATCTGCATGTTGTCACAACACATGTAATAAATACCCTATTTTAAAGTACAGTGATATGAGGCAAGGGGAAACAAGGAGTTTTAACCAGGGAAACGCACCAGTGGTTTAGGGCTCCCTACAACTGCAATCTTGCTGAAATCACCTCTGATTCCACACACTCTGCAGTGTTATTATGGGAGAAACACAGATGCCATGACAGATCTGGCTTTTGCTTCAAAAGCCACGTGCAACAACTCACTCCCTATTCCCAGTGCAAGCTCCCTGCCACACACATTATGAGGTAAAAATCAACAATCTAATCAGATCTGACAAAAAGTTGGCCAAAAAAAAAAAAAAAATTATGAAGATGGCTATTTGAAAGATGGATTTATATCTGTCATCATTAATGATGAACCTCCCCCTAAGTGCACACTGTACCTTGACATATTAGATAATGATAATATGAAGCCATCATGATCAGCAAGACATTTCAAAATTAGGCACCCAGAAGGCGAGGACAAATCTCTCCAATTTCTGCACCACTGGTTTCAAGCCATGGCAAATAAAAGCCTCTTTTAAGGTTCCTTATTTTATAGCAGCAAAAGGGACAAAGGGATCAACCATCAGAGAAGCCTTTGGGCTTCCTGCTGCAGTAAAATATGGCTGAAACAACACATGGAACACAACACGCCATTCCTTTGTCAGCAAATCCTGCTGGAAGACTCATGGAAAACAGCTGAAGATTTGAAGAAACGAGCATCAGAACAACCAGTGGAGTGTGGGAGGTTTGCTGTGCTGCTGGCTGGGTGTGCAGATGTTTGTAACACAGCTCAGCTTACAGTGAGGGCTGCATTGTTTCAGGGATGAACTGCAACTGCTCTCAAGAGCCACGGCAAAGATGGATCTGAGGAGACTCCACAGATTCTCAACAGTAAGTTATTTCTTTGATAGAAACAATGTTTTATGGGGAAACTCTGCCACTGTACACTTGTGTGGTTCTATCTGTGACCTCCACGCTGCAATCCCTTCATTTTGTTATTCCAGTTAAAGCAGCCACTCCATCACCACATGAAGTTCTTTCACTGCATCCTTCACAGGCAAACCAACGCAGCAACACTGGGGCCCGAAGTGCTGCGGGATGTCACTGATTACGTAGTTTTATAAAAACAGGATTTTTCAACAGTAGCATCTTTACAATACTTTGTAACAAGATGGGAAGTGGCCAAGAAATCCATATTCCCCCACTGAGTTTTGCTAGTTACCTTGTGGCAAAGTGCTTCCAAGAGTCATCACATTTAACCCAACATTGGGGGGGGGGGGGATTTCCACAAAGACAACTGTTCGAAATTTGCTCATCTTTGCTGTGATGACAGCTGGCTGTCAGTGCTATGCTACCTACCAGATATTTTCATATAAAATATCAGCTTCACCTTGGGTATTTAACAGTGAGCACCAAAGTAACTGTTTTTCAAAAGAAACTCGTTCTACACAGACTATTTTGAAAACTGATACTTGGAAATGTTTCCACTGCTGGGTGATTTTGTTGGTGAAAATTAAACTTCACCTATAAAAACCTCTGAAAGCTGTACATAATTTCCTAACCTTCAAATATTTTTTTTTTCTTTTTAAATCTTCCAAAATAAGAGTTTCAGGAGAAGACAAGAAAGCAACACCTTCCCTTCAGCCTGCAAGAACAATTGATTGACATGAGGGAAGATGGAAATTTATTAGATGAATTCCAAGAAGAACCTTTGCATAGTTAGTGCATGAGAGTGGAAAATCAGTCTCATGATTTAGTAAGCACAATCAACAATGCACTTCCCCCCCTTGGATCTGTGGCCACTAAAACAAAGTACTGGAATAAAGTGAACTTTTTTTGTGTATGCCTTGTGTTAGTGCAGCAGTATATGTGTATAATTTATAAATAATACACACAGTTTGGGAGTGTGTGCTCACAAAGCTTTTACTGATAAGGGTGTGAGACAAGAAAGATCTTCAGAAATCACTGCCTTAAATGAAAACCTGGCAGGTTGGCAATGCTATTCCAGGGAAATTAAGGCAATGGCTGACTGTATGAAGATCCACATGGAACACAATGTTTTGGTTTTAGCTTTCAACAAAAAATAACAAGGTTTTCTTTTTGCCCTCATAGGCAGATGGCATTTGTAACGCTTCAAACTGCAATTCATGTTTGAAAAGGAATGATAATGGCATTAGGCAGGAACACGCTGTTCCTGCACGGATATTCACAGTCATTACCCAGCCACTCTCACGGCCTGGCCTCACAGTTGCCTCAGCAGTGGCCTGCTCGGATCCCCAGGGCACCTCTACCCCCCAGCTCACGGCACACTCCCTTCATCTGCATTAAACAATCTCCAACAACTGCTGCACAAGCAGTTGACCTCAACCACACACTTGTCCCACTACCAAGGTGTTTTTCTGCCATTCCCCTGGGAGTGTTCTTATAAAGCCAGCTGAAGCTGTGACATGAAAACTTTTAGGACACATTCTCTGCCCAGGCCCCTCCCAATACTTGAACGCTCTGTCTTGTGGGATTCCTTACAGAAAAGCAAGTGCCTTGTGAAACTTAAATCCCATTGTTCCTTATTTACTATTTCTTGCCTTTTTGTTCGGCAGAATGGATTAAAATCTGGTTGGCACCTGGACCCCCACAGCCATTAATACAAACAAAGCCTCTGCTCTCAGGAAGCGTGCAAGAAGAACCAGAATTTTAAGAGCACTGTTCAAAGAGAAGTCACCTGAGAACAAGTAACACTTCCCTAAATCTTCTCATGGAGCAATTTCAACCATTAAATATTTGCACCAGAGCTCAGGTTTCCATCAGCTTCCATCACTTCAGTGATCCCCTGACCCAGCAGATGTGCCACTGGTTCCTTCTGCTTGCCCCTCATTCTGGTTGTGCACTAGTGGCTCCCACTTGATCCTTTCCCTAGAATGTTCAGATACCCCCTTGCCAACAGATGTTTCCTTACAGCACAACACAAAAATCATCCAAGAAAATCTTTTAGTCAAAAATCAGAGAGAACTACAAGAATCACAAAACCCAAGAACTGACAGGAGTTACAAAACTTACAAGCTACAGGAACTGAGTTTGGGCTTTCTGACTTCATTTATAGGCCCATTGCTAAACTTTGATTCTGTCCTGGTATCTAAACGTTTTTATTGTGTCTAAGCATTATGTCCCTCAGTCATCATCACACTCCTGACACAATCCTCCCTCGGGGTTACCTTCAACAGGCACCAGCACTTCTGTCAGACACGGTTGACCTGCCTTTCTGCTTCTGTTTTTGCTGCCAAGTCCCACCTCACATTTTCCTACACAGCACTTGGCACATTTAAATTGAACAAAGGTAAAAGGTACTTGCCATAAATTAAGACCAATTAATCTTTCCAGATGTACAAATTCAAGCCAGCAAGTTTTGAAACTCTTTTATGCTTACATTTATGGCATCTAAACACAAACTGTAAATCTCACATTGCAGAAAAACCAGAACTTTCCCACTCTAACCAAACCATAGTACAAGCTGGCCTTGAGGGAGCTGAGACAAAAGGTTGTTTGCCACATTACAGATACCAACTCCCAATAAAGGCAGAGAGAGATCATTATAAGAAAATAAACAAGAATATGTAATAAGAAAGGCATTACAAAACTCTGAAGACTTTTCTAAGCTGGAGACAATACCACTCTTCAAGAGGTTCTCACACCACAGCAAATACTTCAGCAAAGCACTGAACACTTTGATACACTAGAGCAACAAACCTCTACCACAGCTGACAAATGTAAATTGTTACTCAACTTGAAAAACCCATCAGTCCAAGCAGTACCACTGATTCTTTACCACCTCAGTTGTTATTTGCTGTGATTTACAAGACTGAGAGGCTCCTGCTTATTCCTGGGTTATACATCACTTTTTCACAGAAACACAACATCTCAACCTTCCCAAAGTTGCCAGAAAGACACGAGGTTCATTTACAACTCACTTCAGCTCACACTTTCTCCCTGCTGCCCAAACACAGAAAGATGAGCTACCTACTGAGAATGAAAGGAAGGCAGCCTCAAGTGCCAGCCTGAACCAGCTTGGCACAAACCCAACTGGCTGCTGCCAAGTCAAGGGAGTACAAGTCAGTCAGCACTGCAATACTGTAAAGATATTTTAAGACAGGACTTACTGTTGTGCAGTCACCCTCACCTTGTGCAGTCAGTCAGTGCATTTTCCAGCTTTTTGGAGACGCTTGAGAGGAAAAAGGCGCCGGAGCTTTGAGAATCGAGGGGGTGGATCTCTGGGGATGAAATCCCAGCCTGCAACTGGAAGTGGAAAATATCAAAATGTTATCACAATTGCCTCAAGTATTCAGGCTAATTCAAACTCAGCTCCCAGATAAGCACGTGTGCACACAGCCCAGCCAGGGAAAGGCTTCTCTGACACTGCTGGCAAAGGGGTTTTCAGCAGCATTAGCAGGGACAGAAACCTTGCAAATTCATTGGGCATAGTTACAAGTCTGGTGTCAGAACTGCCCACGGGCTCCTCACCACCTTCTCATGCCCAGGCACATCAGCCTCACTCCAAAGGCACAACTTCCCTGCACCCAGAGACAAGGGCCACGATTCTCCAAACTCTGATCAGACATAGGGTTTCACAGCACCCTGGGCATCAGCCTAACACATCTGAGGAGCCTGGGCCATCCCCAAGGCATTCTGCTTGAAAAAGGAACGGATTGTTTAATCACAAGAAAAAAAAATAAAGCACAAAAGAGCTTAAGGCACGACATGATGTCCATAATCATAATCTCATCCACGGAGTTGCAAAAGCCTAGATTATTCTGCTTAATATAGCCTCGGGAACTTGGAAACCAAACTGCTCTGAAAAAAACCCTCTGCTTTATCATTTGTACCTCCCTTGTCCCCAGAAATTCTTCAGTTCAATTTGATTTCTGTTCTTGGAACCGTATGTGGTCAAAAGCAGAAGCCCAAAGGTAAAAATCTGCGTTCTCCTTCAGGTACCAGCAGACAGGACAATCTGAAACTGCCATTTCCAGCTCCCCACCAGTAACATTTGTCCCAACTCACACTAAAATCCAAATGCAAACAAATGAAATGCAATAATCCCTTATTAAGACATCCTCCCCCCATCTGCAACAACACCCAACCATTCTGCTTGCTGTTCTCAATTTGCATCAGCATTCTATTGTCTGCAGAAACATGCATAAGCAGACTTGCCAAACCTCTTAAAGATTCAAAGGCTGGGAAAAGAAAAGAATTTCTGAAAGCTGGATACAGTGGTCTGTAAACACATTCACACTTCTTTCCTAATTACGGCCTGGTGCAAAGGCAGCATCTGAGAAAGGCTGCTTAGCAAGGAACTCTGCATATTAAAACGAAATAATCAAGATGTCCACACATCTGGCAGTTTACCAACTATCTCTGAGGGTCAGATAGGACTGGGAGCTGAGAATTACCACAAATGGTGCTTTCAGAACTAAAATGCTAAAATTACGGATTAGAGGGCTCCTTCAGCTCACATTTCAGGAACATAAAACACTGATATCCCAGTTGTCTGACACTGCAGTGCCACAAGAAGGAACAGAGGTGATGTCTGTACTCCTGTCTATAGGGGGGGGCTAATTAGGTACTGTCATTTTTGCAAGTCACC